TCAGATCACCCATATGCCCGTACTTGCCTCCAGAAAAGAAGGTGGCATTGGAGAAGAAGATGATGAAGAAGGTTCCAAAGCAGGAAATATCGGGAATGGACTCTGATTCCATTATAATTTTTGCACAAGGTAAAGAGGAAGCTCTGCATGTGCCTGCAGATGATCCTCTCTTTTGTCATTCTGGAGTCGAGCAACTTACTGAGGAGTGAGGACAAATCGAAAGTGGATCATCCATGGATTAATGATACTGTATTTGGGCTTAGGCCTCACAAACTGCCAGTTAGAAGGCATATCAAGCAGGAAAATGGTGCAAATTTTTCTTTACCAACTGATAGCTTAACTTCTCCCCTATAAGCAAATGTCTTCAACTCAACTGAAAAGTTGCCTGTTAGGAGACATATAGCGCGGGTAAACCATGTAAATTCTTCTTCGACAACCAATTCTTTTCAGGTTCAGGCATCCATTTCTTTCAAAGCAAATACCGTGAGCTCTGTGGAAGATTCATTTTCCCCTCTAGTTGAATAGGACATTTCTAATGGGGGATTTGACGAAGCTATGACATTGGATTATGACTGTCTTGGTTTTGCTGATACGGAGTTTGAACCTCAGACATATTTCTCTTTTAATGAGTTGCTCGACTCTGAAGATGCTGGTGGTTCAACTGGAGCTGAAATATCAGAAATCCCAACAGAAATTTGGGAAAATCCATCCGGATTCCCACAAAATGAAGCTCTCAAGATATCTTATAATAATGAAGAACCTGTGATATCTATTGACATCGATCTCCATATTCCTTGTCAGATTTGTTCCCACACTGATCCTTTCCCGGACCTTTCTTGTCAGATATGTGGTGTTTGCATTTATAGCCATTGTTCTCCATGGGACCAGCAGTTGCCTCAGGAGGACGGCTGGAGGTGTGGCAGTTGTCGGGAATGGAGTTTGTGGTTTTTGATGTTTGGCGAGGGGGTCTCTATTGTTTGAGGCGGGGAATGGACGGACCACTTTATTTGCCGACTGAGGAGACTGGCAATTACATAGCAAATTCGAATATGCTAGTTGCTGTGATATTTGCTTGAGATGGTACGGAAATTGGAGTGGCAACGTGGTAAATGCCTGTTGCTATACTCGGTTCACTTCGTGGTTACAGGACTCGTTTGTTCTTGTTTTGGCAAGTTTTTCTGTTACAAACAGTAGAACATGTTTGGTTGTCCCAGGTTTTATTGATGATAGAAGTGAACAGTTGAGCTTATTATTCCCCTTTTGAAGAGTTGTTGGGGGGAAAACAGTGATTATTTTTAGATTGAAATTCTTCTGATCTTGAAGGATAGGCTGGGTTTTTGGTGCTTATCTGCTTCTTTTGCTTGTAAAAGACATTGGGATCGAGTATTTTGAGATCAGTTAAGTCAGTTTTGTGCTCCTTTGATTCTCTTTTGGAGTTGTGGTTAACAGAATGGGGACTTAGAAAGTCATCGAATTTGTTTTTGTTTTAAATATTTATACAATTTGGTAATTCTATATTGACAGACAAACGGAAGTTTGATGGGGTAGTTTAGTTAAATCAAGAGATTTTCATGTCACATTTTCGTTCGTCAAACTCGAAATAAAATTAGCCTATTTGAGCTCCATTTGTTTAAAATTCATTTTTTTAAAAAAAATATTTTTGATCATTCATTCTCTCATAAAATTAAATCATATATCACCAAAAGTCGCTATATAAATTATTTTTTTTTTTTCCAAAAGGATGGAGCTCAAACAAGTTGAGAGACCAATTTAAAACAAAATGAAATTGATTTTCCCTTGGTTGCAAATATGAGTCGAAAGGGGCTGACGGGGCGATCTGTCATCACCTATAATTACTTTTATTTAAACTAGTTTAACACCCGTGCAAT